GAGAAGGGGAGGGGGACGTGGGGGGGGGGTGAGGAGCCCCCTTTGAGGGGGGGCAACGCTTGGCGGGGGAGACGGAGTCACCAGCACGAGTTCTCTCCCACGCCGCAGTGGGTTGATTTCACAATAAAAAGGCATCAGCAGAAATCTTCATATTCATGCTGTGGATTCAAAATCTCTGAAGCGGCCTCGCCTGCTTCCTCCTGCACGGGCTTTCCAGTAAATCCGCATGTTTTGCACTGGGAGAGAAGATGACTGAAACCTGGAGGAGGCCAAATCTCTGCCCCAGAGCCCAATGTCCTCTCCTGGGCTTCCCTCCTGCCGTGGCCCACGGGCCTGCCTGAGTTCAGGGATCCACCTTCAGCCTTTCCTCCTTTCTCAGGAGAGCCAGCGTGGCAGAGCGGGTCTTCTCCAGGGTAGGCCAGGAGTCTTGAGGAGCAGCTGCCCCCGCTAAGGAGATGACCTGGTGGCAAACAGCAGGGAAGGCTAAGGTGTGCTCTCTGTTTTGCAGGGAGCTGTTGGGGAGATCCTGGCCCCGCCACCACCACGGAGCCCCAAAGCTTCAGCCTCACCCCTCCGCAGCCTACCTACAGCCCAAGCTGGCAGCAGCTGGAAGCAGCAGGCCCAGGGGACGAACCTGCAATGCTGCCCAACGGTGTCCGTTTGAAAGTTGAGGCCGTGCCGATGGGGGTACTGTCCAAGGAAGATCTGGACTGCTTCTGTTGCTGCAGCCAATGCGGTAAAGTTTTCTGGGAAGGGTCCCACTTCGGCCACGTGGTCTCCCAGTTTAAGGAGGTGCTGGACCTGCCAGAAGAGAGCTGAACCGGGGCTGGGCTGGGGCCGGTAGGCTGCCGCCAAACAGTCCCTTGGACTCTGTACATGCTCAGGAATGAGGGAGGACCCCAGGGCCTTTCAGAGCATCCCTCGCAGTAGGCAGGGATGTTGCCAGGCCACCCCGCTTTAGGAGGATTTTCAAAAGGATTTCCAGGGCTCGGCCACTGAACCAGGGATCTCCCGTGGGGCGGCGTTTTGGTTCAGCCACAAGCCTGTTTGGGTGGGAGTCAATGGAGCTGGCCTGAGCAGGATGGCTCTGTGACCCCTTCCAGCCATTGTCCTTCATCTTCCCGGCCAGCCAGAAGCACAGAGAGGCTGTCGCTTGGCTTCCAACTTCCTGTTTTTATTAGGTTTTCCCTTTGAAACTTGACATTGGCGTGGTATGATCAGGATCAGAGCCATTGCGGGTAGGGTGGGGCCATCACCCCGCTACCTGTCTTCCCTTTTTTTGCCCCCCCATGTGATTGTGGGGAGGGGCTGTGGCCTCTGTCATAAAATCGATTGTTAGCAGCGCCTGGGGTACGTGTATTTCCGATATGTATTGTTTAAATCCGAATGCTGTCTTGGGTGTGTCCCCCACTCGGAGTCTTTTGTGAATGGGGTGGCACAGAAGACCCGTAAATAAAGAAATGAAAAGCAGAGCAGTCTGTTGACAGCTGCTCAGAGTAACTTTAACCCTCCAAAGCTAGTGTTTTTTGGGGCTGCAGCTGATCTCCTTGGGCTTAATTGGCGGGATCGGTTTCCTGCTTGCACATCCCACCACCCCAGTCCTCCACGATCCATTCCACACATTGGGCGAACAGGCCTCTTGCATCTCCTGCTTCAGAGCAATTGCACCCCAGACTCCAGGACCAAATGTTCTTTTGCAGGCTGGGGGATTCCACATCCCCCTTCTCCGCAGTGCCGCTCAGAGCCTTTGCTCCAACTGTGTGCACGTCTCCCCCCCTCAAAGCACAGAAGAGGTCCTGCTGTTTCTCTGGAGATAAGGAGCGCAAGCAAGAAATGTTTCCCTTGTGTCCCAGCCAGCGAGTCCCCCCCTTTCCCACTGCCCCTTCTTCTTTGCTCTGAGTTTCTGGCAGGAGATTCCACGGGATGACCTTTCAGCGCAAGAGCAGCCCTTCCATCTCCCCAAAGCGCTGGCTCGGTCTGCTTTGAGAAATCTGGACCTTCAGCGTGGAGGACAGCAGCTACGTGCTCCTCCTGGCCCTTCGCGTTGGCTGCTCTTTCCTCTCAGCTGCGGTCATTTTCACAGACTCATTTTTGGCTCCTCTGGTGACTCAGTGCTCTGCCCCACGTGCCCCTTGGAGAGGGCCTGATCCCAGACCCCGGGGCATTTGTCTTCACAGGAGATGCTGCTGCTGGCAGACACAAAAGACGTCTGCAGGGCTAGGCAAGCGGTGCCAAACCAGCACTTCCCATTTAGCTGTCTGGGACTTAGATCTGAACAACAGGAGTTTGGGTTGTGGTGTAAATGTTACTGGGGTTGACAGAAACATACAAATGGTGGGAGTATTTTTATACGCCTTTTACGCATTCAGACTTTTAGCTGCAGCGCCTACGGGGCAATGAGGGAATCAGAGGTGCTCTGCTTGTTACTGAGTCTCGTTCCAACCACACACTGCCTGCCAAGCCACCACATTTAGGAAGCTGAACAATACTGTTGGCATTAAAAAGGGCTATTTCTATTTTTAAGCATCAAATCTTTAAAGATGCCTCTGCTGAGGATGAACATTCCGAATATTCTGTTTAGACCGGACTTTCCTTCCCAAAGAGCAACCAGTAAGGCGCTCAGGTGCCCACAAGGGCAGGCAACTCCCGGCGAGCAGCAGCCGTTGCGGGAGACAAAGAGGTCTTCTCCGGAGTCCTGATGAGAAGGACCGCCGAGGGGAGGCAAAAGACCCATCAGCCGGTGGGGAGGCTGCACCGTGGGGCCTGGCTCGCTCTCTTGGCACGGGAGCTCCGTAATTCCGGAAGGAAGTTTCATTTCCCTCCCTCATCCTTGTCCCACAAGGCAGGCGGCCAAAGCATGGGGAAGTGGTTTCCGAGCGTCTCAAGACGAGGCTGGCTGATCCCAGAGGACGTCGGCTCTTCCAGGCTTTGGCCCATAAAAGACAGTGGCACGCACGAGTAGGGACAGAAGAACGACTGGGCCTCCTCGCCTCGGTCGGTCTGCAGAGGACACCACCCAAAAGCGGCTCAGGAGGATTCCCAAAGAGGACCGCCTTCCCTCTCTCTGGTCTCTCGCGTGTGCGAACGCGCCTGGGGCAGCCGCCGTTTCCCTTCACGTGTGTGCGTAGAATAACATGCCCGTCAGAGGTTCGGAGCAGGACAGAAGGCCCTCCGGGACGGAGCCCTGCAGGGAGAGGGAGGGCTTCCCAGAGCCTCCGGGCCTGTGGATTCGGTCCCCGGCTGTACCCCCAGAAGCACTTGCTTTGCTCCAGCCAAAGGGAGGAATCAAAGGGCACGGGGGTGTGGCGCACTGGCCTTGGGCTGCTTGGAGCAAGCCATAAATTCTCCCTTTCTCTGTACATCAAAGGCGCAGCCAGACAGGCAATAATTCTGTATTGCTTTATCATTTGTGAACATTTTCTGATCGGGCCTGAGGGCCTCGCAGGGTCTACCGTGGCTATAGTTTCAGCATTCCTTGCGCCACGCTCGCGGCCCCCCATTTTGCCCACGTCTGGCCTGACTGGAGAGTCGCCCAGGGTTGAATTAATACATCAGATGGAGGAAAGGGGAAACGTGTCCTGGCTCTCCGGATACCTATTCCGGGCAGCTCCATAGACCAAAGCTGTCACACTGGGCACGCGAATAAAACCTGTAGGGAAAAAAGCGACCCACCGATGAGCTGCGAAGAGGGAGAAGGCGGAACGCCTTTCCAGCCCCTTCCTCCAGAGCCCCCCCCGCACGCTCCCCACGGGAAGGCCCGGGTGGAGGGGCAGAGACCGAGCGGGCCACGGCCCGGGTCTCCCAGGAGCATCTTTCTTGAACCGCTCCGTCCTGCTGGGGCCCTTCCTGGCTGCCCGCCCCAAATAAATGTCCCCGTGAGGGGCCGTTCTCCGCTTCCTTGGCCCAGCGTCCTTTCCTTTCGTGCTAGCGTTTCAACTGACGGGGCCCTTTCCTTTGCCCGCGGCTCCTCAGCCGCTCCTCTCCCCCCAAGACCTGCCACCGGGGTGGCTTTGCCCGCCGCGCACTTCGCACACGACTTCCTCTCGGCGCATAAGCGAAACTGCGTTCCTTCGCATAGATCTTGGCGCAGATACCGCCGATAACGCAGACGCCGCTGCGCAGCCCGCTCTAATCGGCGGCGCGATCTCCCCCCCCGAGACCCGCGTGCGCGCGCCCGCACCGCCCCTCGTCCTCCGGCCCCGCCCTCCCCGCGGCTGGGAAGAAAGGCGCAAGACTTTCCCACGCTCCCTGGTTCACGGTAATGAGGCCGCGCCGGCCCCG